ACTCCCAGAATTTCCCAGCCCGCCATGGGGGAATGGGGCTGGGGGATTTTTGGAGTTGAAGTCCACCCATCTTAAAGTTGCTGAGGTTGAGGAACCCTGAGTTATAGTATGGAAAGGCAGCTATATTTGTATTGAGTGTCAAAATCCTAGGGTTGGAAGTTTCCCTTGAGGTCATCCAGTCCACCCCCTGCTCCATGCAGGTGTCCAAGTGAAACCATCTCAGAAAGGTGGCTGTTTAGCTTCTGCTTGAATAAATCCATCACCTCTCTGGACCAGAGGTTCTGCCCCTACTATTAAGCGTTTTTCACAGGTTTGTCCCTTGGTTAACTCAGTCTTCACCACCTTCTCACCAAGTCTGGAAAGTCAAGGGGAAGAGAGATCCAGGGGCTCCTCCAATCCTTTTGCCCTCTCTCCAACACAGCCTTTGTGCCCAGCATGGGGCTTGTGGCCGGAGTCGTGGCCGGAGTCGTAGGAGTTGCGGTGGCCGCAGGCATCCTTGCTGCTGGAGCAAGTGTCTACATCAGTAAGTAACTCTTGGACGGGCACAGGCTGTGTCGTTCGACGCTGCCAACCTCCCCTCCCCCAAACCTGGTATCTCCCACAAGCTCCCTGATCAGGGTCACGCTGAACACGGCCTCCAAATCTCCTGAAGGTCCTGAAGAGCTGGTTGATGTGATCCCCTAGGCCATAATGTTGAGGGTGGTTTGCTTTTGAGCATGTTGGGTGAACTTGGTCATTTTGATTTGCAAACTGGGAGCTCCTTTGACCAACTGGTAGCAGCACCAAGCGGACCTTGGCAGACTTCAAGAAATAAAGCACAGCCGGGTTTGATGAGTGCTGGGATGGGAGATCACCAGGAAATCCAAGGGCTGTATGCGAAAATGAGAAGTCTGGGAACTAATCAGCATTGATCCTACTCCGCTTCCTTAAACCCACCAAGGTCAGCTGCCACAATGAACAGGCTGATGACATGCTTGCACCCATGTATTTTGGGGCCATTCCCTTCTTCCCTTCCGAGTTCCCAGTCTAGCCCACAGCTTTCTGCTGCAGCTGGAGGAAGGATGGAGGCTCTGAACTTTCCATCTACCAAAGACTGAGGGCAAAACGAGTGATCTCTAAGTGGGAATGTTGTCTCTGACTTCTTGATTCTGTCTTGCAGAAAAACGTGGTGGAGATGCATACAGGACACCATCAAGTGAGTGACTCTGAAATGTAGTTTTGGTACAGGTTGCCTTTGGGGTGAAGGGGGAAAGATCCAGATTAGCCCAAATGAAGGTGTTGCAGATTTATGACTTCCCTGCAACGGGAAATGTGGGTTCCCGCTGCATAGAGGGAAGTTTGTATGTAGAAGTATATTTATTGGTTTATTAATTAGGATGTCTAAACTGACCATCAGCCAAATCTCTCTGGGCAGTTCACAATAAAACAAACTAAAAAAAAAACATTCGAGCTAAAATATAGACAGGGTATAGCAAAAGTCAGGCCCCATCGGCCAACCATAATAGGTTTTATTAATTTAATTTTATTATTTTTTTGAACCCTGATCAAGAGGCAAAGCTCTAGAGATAGAAAAGTGACGTAAATGAAACTAATTTCTGGCTATGCATAACAGTCCACCTGAAACCTTCCATAAGATCTTGTTTAGGGAAAGGGCTGGGAAGTAGCACGGGGGCAGGATGACTATGGGAGACAGGGCCAACATGAGCAAATGACAGCCGTGGCGGTTTTTTTGCAGGGGAACACACACGTCCGAGGCATTTACATAAGTAATGGTAACGGCCATCATTTTTGCCTTTCTGCTGCGTCTTAGAAAAATTGCTACTGAGGCCAGGCTGCATTTGACTGCATTTTTAAAAAAATTGATTTCCATCAAGTTCTCACAGAACCTATTTTGAAAAATCCTGTACTAGATGATTGTTGATGTTCAGGTGACTAAAGAATTGTTCTAAAAAAGTGTGCATGTGGGAGATGCCCGGGACTTTGCGTTTCTTGTGTGCGATCCCTTAGATATATTGCCTGGCTAAAGGAGACCCTGCACTTTGTCCCGAATATTGATTTTTCTCTTGTCTCTCTGTTACAGCCAGCAGTCAGGATTTTGAGAGTCCTCCAGTGGTAAGTAGGGCTGTAGGTTTACAGATCTTTCATGAGAGGGAAAAAATAAAATCCCCAGTTCTGCAACAAAATGCTTTAGTATTCCCCACCCCATCCACAGCGAGATTGCTTTATTTGGATCCTTTGTCAACCTGAATACAGAATGTTGTCCTGCTCTTCAGGACTTGCACTGGGGAAAACAAGGAAGTGGGTTCTGTGGCCGAAGCAAGATTAGAACCCGGCTCTTCTCTCTCCTGGTCCAGCACCTTTAGCACTATTCCATCTGGCTCTCAGTGATGATGTCTGAAGAAGCTCTTGGTTCAGCCTCGTTCTGCTGTTTTTTATTCCATCACACACTGCCTTTAGCCTCTTCTGAATCTGGGTGGACCACCTCCTTCTTGACCTTTGAAGGGCAAATTTTGCTTTGCCGTGGAATGTTTTACTGAACTCCAGGGAGAGAATTAACCTCTCGGGTCAGGCAGCTGAGTGGCCTCGGAGCCTTAAGCTCGGCTTAACTCTCTGTAGGAAGGCACTTCTTGTGCAGACCGCCCTGCATTGCAGAGGTGCTTGAGTGCTGGTGGAATAGGGGCTTAGCAGTCCCTGCCAGCTGTCCCTGCTCACCCAGGAAGCTCTAATAGGGAAGACTCCCTTCAAGTCATCTCTCTACAAGGACAGGGTTCCACCCAAGATCAAATCAGCGCCAACTGTGGCATTAGAAAAGCTGCTAAACCCTGGCCATTTCTGACCGTCTTCTGGGAGTGATATGATGGTGGATCCCCATCCTGTAGTGATGTTCTGTGCATGCAATGGAGAGTGACGTTCCACAGCAGGATGGAAGTGAAGGTTATTATTATTATTTTGGGGGGAATTATGTCGTTGTTATTATTGATTGTTTTCATCTTTTTTTTGTTTCACTGAACTGAAGTGTATACCGCTGAGAATTATCTGTAATTAAAGCAGCCTATAAGCCTAGGTGATAGATAGATAGGCTAACCAACCAAACAACCTCTGGCAGTTTAGTAGTCCACTTGCTACAACCAGTGTTTCATTATTTAAGTTCATACTCTTTTTTTCTCTCTCCTTCCTGTAACATGAGGCCCACTTGGCAGGTAAAAACAGAGCAAAGAAGATCTACACCGAGGACTTGCTGTGAATCGCTGGTGCTTCTGAAGGATCCAGGGTGAAGCTCAAAGTTCTTGGTGGAATCCTAGCCATCAGGAAGGACTCAAGTCGTCTACACACTTAGCTTGGATACCATTAGCATGTTTTCTGAGGTCTCAGAATTCCAAGAAGTATAAAGAATTTATATATTATAAATGATAAAAAAAGAATTCCAAGAACTATAAACTAGCCACACAGGCTGGGTTTACACAACATGCTGAGTTGCACAGTAACAAAGCAAGATGAAGAGAGCCATTGGGGTAAACTCTTGGTCTGGGAGCAGGAAAATCCAAGTTCTCGTCCCCCTTTAGCCATGGGAGACTCTGGGCCAGACCCTCCCGCTCAACCCAACCAACCTCCAGGTCTGTCCTGGGGGAAAACAAGAGGAAGGAGCATTGTGTCTGTTGCCTTATGCTCCTGAATGAAAGGTGGGATATGAATTTAGCAAATCTTATCTAAATCGAAAGAGAGCCAGTTTGGTGTAGTGGTTAAGGCACCAGGCTAGAAACTGGGAGACTTTGAGTTCTAGTGCTGCCTTAGGCACGAAGCCAGCTAGGTGACCTTGCGCCAGTCTCTCTCAGCCCTGGGAAGTAGGCCATATCAAACCACTTTGCAGTCCTCAGGAAAACACTGACTCAAAGGCACCAAAAAAAAAAAGGGAAAGGAAAGAAAGAGAAAGGGAAATCTAAACCTTCCCAAGATTTATGGCTAGTGTGAAAAAGTGTGTGTTGGAATAAAATGCTTGCTTATCAGAAACTTGATTCAGGCTTCTGCAGTGTGGCCAGGCCAGTGGCCGGCACACGAACCAGAAACCTAGGATGAGGGAAGGTACCAGATAATAAAAGCACCTAAAAGCATGATAAGGCGATCACTGCTTGAGAAATACCTGATGCTACGTAAGCAAGTAGGGAAACGTATAACCATGACAGGCTATACAGGAAACATAGAGTA